GGTGTAATGGGACAGGTCAATTTCATCAAGAACAAAGGAGCTAAGTACAAAAATGTAATTTTTAACCCAAAAGTGGATTTCTTGAAAACAGGTTTCTTGTTTTCTATTTCACTAACCGGACAGACATCTTTGAGAGACAAATTGACAAATGATAACTACCATATATGGTTGAAATTCTAGCATGTTCGTTTGGTTTGTTTTGATGTGTGATGATGCTGTTGCCTATTTAATTGTAAAGTTCACCTCGGGGCAAGTTGAGCCATTATACCCCCGTCAGACTGGGGTGGCGTCCTTACTGCGACGCTACGGCGGCGGAAAACGGTCATAGAGCGCACCAAGATCACCATAAGCGCGGTAAACGCGTGATGGAAACGCCAGATATCGTGCTGTGGTCTCCATGGTCGTGAATGATCGCCTAGTCACCGCGTTTGTTTTAAGCATGTTCAAAACAAACGCCAAGGCTTTGCGATCTATACTGGAAAGTTGTAATGCCCCAGTCAGACCGGGGTGGCGTCCTTACTGCGCTGCAGCGACCGTACGGCGACCAGAAAATGCACAAGGTCGCCGGCAAACGTGAACACAACGTACGAAAATGTCCCAAAATATACTATTCAAAAAAAGTAGGGGATATTTGATTTTGGGGGCATAATACTAAAATATGCAAATGACTACGAAAAGAGTCACTATAGAACCTAACAGAAGAAACATTTCCAGTTACATGTGACGCCCAAACGCACCAATAGCTACCGCGTGGAATGCAGGTGATGCTTGGAATCATCATGGGGGTCCAACCCAAGATTTGCACGACTCTGACTTTGAATGTTACAGTCATTGTGGCATTGAATTCCAGGGTGGAAACATCAGTTTAATTGTTTTAGTGACCAGAAAACAAATTTTGATATGCGTCGGCTTACCCAAAATGAAAGGTTACGTGCCCTTGGCATGCTACAGATCGGCACAACACAGGCGGTTGTGGCGCGGACGATGAATGTTTCTCAGTCTGTCATAAGCAGGCTATGGTCCAGATACCGTGATACACAATCTGTACAGGACAGACCACGCTCAGGTCGACCAAGGGCGACAACTCAAGCCCAGGATCGATTTATCCGTACCTTGGCCTTGAGAAATCGTGTCATCACAGCAAATCAGATCAGCGCTCGTCTTCAAACAGACACTGGTGTGAGAGTGAGTGGCCAGACGATTCGGAATCGACTGCATAGGGGTCACCTTCGCGCCCGACGTCCTCGCGTGATCCCTTGTTTGAGAGATCATCACATTCAGGCAAGACGTCGTTGGTGTAGGGATCGTCAACACTGGGATAATCGACGCTGGAGCAATGTGATGTTTTCAGATGAGTCAAGGTTCACTGTTGATTTTTTGGACAGACGTAGGAGAGTGTGGCGTCGTTGAAACGAGCGCTTCCAAGACGTTAACGTCATCAGACATGATCGATTTGGGGGTGGTTCTGTTATGGTGTGGGGAGGCATCACTGTTGCTGGAAGAACGGCTTTACATGTTGTTGCAGGGCGTGTTACAGGCCAGTACTACCGGGACAACATCTTGGCAGTCCATGTTGTGCCGTTCGCACGACGTCATGGCCGCCGTTTCATCTTCCAGGATGACAACGCAAGATGTCACAGGGCCAGGATCGTTACAGGTTACCTCCAACAACAGAACATCACCACATTACCTTGGCCAGCACTGAGTCCCGACCTCTCCCCCATCGAGCATGTCTGGGACATGCTTGGACAGAGGTTACGTCAACGTCAACGTCAACAACGTCCTGCCAATGTCCAAGAACTTGCTGCTGCGTTGCAACAGGAATGGGACAATCTGGACCAAAATGACCTTAGACGTCTCATTAGGAGTATGCCACGTCGGATCAATGCTTGTTTGGCAAACAGAGGAGGATTTACCCGTTACTGACTTGGTTGTGATGCTGTGGTAACTTTGCTGTTTGACCCCGGGTATCATTTTACCCTTATAATGGCCAGTCTGTGCCTTACTTAGTCTAACGATCATTTGGAATAAATCGATGAATGTGAACTTCATTTCATTTTGTCATTTGTTTCTTCGTCAGTTTCATTAGGTGACTTTAATAACACTTAAAAATCAAATATCCCCTACTTTTTTTGAATAGTATATTAAAAATTTGCACATCTTTCTAGGGCAGATCTCAGAACCTTGGCGTTTGTTTTGAACATGCTCAAAGCAAACGCCGTGACTCGGCGATCATTTGCGACCATCGAGACCACAGCGCGATATCTGGCGTTTCCACCACGCTTTTACCACGCTTATGGCGATCTTGACGCGCTCTGGGGATATTTGCCGTCGCCGTACCAGCGCAGTAAATGCGCCACCCCAGTCTGACGGGGTAAAGAACGAAACTTTTATCAAGTTTGTAAATTTTCTGGGACAATTTCTCGCGTTGTGTTTACGTTTGCCGGCGACTTTGTGCATTTTCTAGTCGCTGTACGGTCGCAGCAGCGCAGTAAGGACGCCACCCGGTCTGACGGGGGCATTACAGAACCGACTCTGTTGATTTATCTAATGCTATTATGTCGTACCTTATATTCAGTAGTGATATTTAAATCCATTATTTTCAATAATCTGATTAAAGACAATTCAGTGCTGTTTCATCTTAGCCTAGTCATCCATTTTGTGTGAGTGTTTTTAATACATGAGTAAATTGGATGTGGATGTTATATATAGATATCATTGTAATGGCCTATGACCAATTGAAACAACAACACGGATAAACACTTGTATTTAGGGAATATATCAATACGCCTTGATTACATTGACTCGTTTCAACTTACCCCACAATAGTGGAATAACTTACCCCACCCTTTGGGTAAATTGTGCGATTTGACCAACATTTTTTGGGACCCCACCATTTTATTCCGGCATAGTAATTTGACTGGATAATGCTTGTAAATGATGAACAACTTTTTAAACTATGCATGGTGTCAATTTTGGCAGCAAAATATGGATTCTTTGGACTCCAGAGCAGCTTTTGTGTCAAGTGGCACAACTTACCCCCTCTCCCCTAACTTTTATCCTCACAAAATAAGTTATTGGGTTTCTGTCGTGGGGATGTTCCCCCTTTTCGAAAACAAATCGCTTGCCATAATATGACCAAATGAATATATTATGGGTCTGCACGCACACTGTAAACCATGAACTTGTCCCAATGGATTAATATACATGTACGTTTAACATATTTAGTCGATGCTATAGACAATTTTCTTTATAATAAATCAATAATATTCAAATAAATTAGAATACTGTGAGCCAGAAACTCCAGATAGTCTGTGCGCTTAGATGTATTATTCCCACAGGGAAGTCGGCATACAGGGAACAATTTCTATGTTTTGAAGAAGACAGTGAAAAGAAAACTAAAACAAAAAGATTAGAATACTGTGAGCCATTTACATGTATTGAAGACGGCAGCCAGGGAACTATAATTGATATATATTGAAGGCGACTGCAGTTTTCGTCGGAACACATTTGTAATGGCTGGGTATTCTTATGTCAGATGGGTTCTTGATGGGCCTGCCAAAACATCAATATGTACTTTTGTCGTGATTGTAAACATACTGTTTTTGATGGTTTTGTGTAAAAGGGAGATGCGCTCAGTTACTTCATTTTTATTGTCTGCAATAGCGGCTTGTGACACTCTTATGGTAATTTCGGCATTTCCATACTCTATTTATTTGTCTGTAACGGATTTTGAGAAACTAATTCCCTACAGTTGGTGTCCCATCGTCGTTTACAGAGGAGTTGTTGCACAGATCGCGCATACTGCATCCATATGGTTAACTGTAACTCTTGGCGTGTTCCGCTATATATCTGTATGTTATCCATTAAAAGCACCGGCTTGGTGTAGTGCTAAACGAGCTGGAATTGCAAGCATCGTCGTCATTATGTTGCCCATAGTCATCTATGGAAGTAACTTCTTCCAAACACGTTTCGAACCTCAGACCTTGAATTTTGCTAACACGTCTGTCGAAACTTGTAAGAAAATCTTAAGCGATTGGTACATTCCCATAGAGCGTGAGTACGACCTGGGATTTTTCATTTTTAGATCCATCTTTATACAGTTTATTCCATGTTCTATATTGATGATCATCACCATTCGATTGCTATATGTCTTAAAAGTGGCATCACAAAGAAGGAGCAACGCGCTTGGAACCAATCAGCCAGACAGAACAGGGTCCAAACGAAGAAACGTTCTACTAATTACTGTTTTGATTGCAACAGTTATAATAGAAGTACCTATAGCATTGATCATGGTGTTGAACGTTATAGATAGTTATATGATGAAATTTGACACATTTGTTTTTGTTTCCGCAAGTAATGATGTCCTTTTGCTCACATGCGCGTTTAATTTTTGCATTCATTGCACGATGGGTAAGAAATTTAGAAAAGAGTTTCGGGAACTGTGTTGCTGTAGATCAGGACAGTCAATGAACTATACCCAGTAACAGAACTATAAGATGTGTATGCATGTAGTAATATTGTATTGTTTATTGTGTTTGCTTTTATTGTTAGGCGAGGTTGAGGGTGGACTGTAAATGTAAAAGGGGTTTGTTATGTGCAAGTCATAGGTTCGATATTGGGAGGCCGTCTGACCGGTTAGTGACTATTGATGATTAAATACTATTGACACTCCCACATCTTCTCTGATTTTGTTAATTATTAATGTTTGCTTTGTTGCAAGTTTGAAAAATAAAATTAAAAATAACTGGAAATGATTTTTTCTGTCATCCAATACATTTTCTAATACGTTTTGTTCATATTATTAATTTGATTTCATTTCCGCAATATTCAACATTTACACTGGTGAATATACAATAATATGATTTTGCTTCAATACCAAACACAGACCGTGCGAAACTGAATTGAAAATAACCCGCAATTATTGTTACATGTGTCAACATTGATGACAAGTAATCGTAAATAGACATGCAAGGCAAAAGCAGACATTTTCGTGACAGTCATTGAGGACGAAACACGTATGAAGAGGAAAAATGACACTATTGACTAAACTATATTGCATATTTCTAATCATTTTCTGTATTCATGGGAAAAAGTGTTCCAAGAAAGCAACAATTGCTACGTTCAATACTGGCTTAACGCCCAGATTATCAGAGTATGAAGTTCGGAGGAAGATGATTCCGGCAGTGGTTGCATCACTCAATGCAGATGTGATATGTTTGCAAGAGTTGTGGTTTGAAGATGACATAAAAAGTGTGACAGAAGCGGCAGCTAATGAAAAGTTTGATTCGTACAGCTCGTTAAATTCAGCGGTAAATCCGATTAGCACGAAAACTAGTTCACTTTGGACTCGGACTTTGCAAGCAATTTCGGATACACCGTGTCTGACATGGCGGTTATTGCCGTTTTTAACGTGTCAGTTTTGGTATTGTCGAAGCAAGGGTAAGATGGAGTTACTTCAGTGTATGATGAAGAACTGTTTGTCGTACGTTAACGCCATGCCACAAGAATGTTTATCCTGCATTGTCATTGGATATGCTGACCCTAGCACTGGCGTTGGAAGATGTGTACCACTCTTTCACAAGTACAGACGATTCAATAATCAAGGATTGTTACTTTTGAGTAAAATGAAAATAATATCTGCCAGAAAACAAACTTTTATAGACGAAAAAGTGAAGGAAATTCTACCAAGAGGTTACATCGAAGCCAAGGTGAGTCAGTTGCTTGCAATGGCGCGAGAACCCGGTTGGCTTCGCCGACCAGTTTTTACAGACGGTCTGCAAAAGGTTTATTTTGTCGACCGTGGAGCACCAAAAAGGTTATATCCCGATATTGACTTTATCTATAGATGTCAAATTTTCAACATTAGCAAATTGTTATTCCACAACACAACATATAAAATCCTATGAAATCGACAATTGCGTAACCCTTCCAGAGTAGTGTTCTCTGGTCAGGGGTCAGCTAATAACGCTACTATTCGATACCATGTGGAATTACATGCTACCTATTTTATTCTCTGAAATATATAATATGTAACGTATCTTTAAGTTTGTGGTTACTTTGACAGATCGATGGTATAGGTACAGTAATATGCACCCATCTGACAACTAATTTCAGCTCCACAAAATATGAATGTAAGTTCTACAAGTTAATTGTGCATTTATTAACAGCCACGGTTGACTTTGTTGATATTGATATTAAAGTTATCTATATTTATTTAAACTGCTATCTAAAATTAGGCGCCTAACTGTACGATGTTACTTAAATTTTAGAAATACACTGTTATATTTTGCTGCCATGCTTTCTAAACCCTTTCTCTCGCTTCTGGGTTTTTAGTTTCATGCCAATAATAGCTTTTATTAGTGTTTCAAACTAAGATTTTTTAAACTTTTTTTCACACAGATAATCTCAAATATTCGAGTCCAAAAGAGCAACATGCTGATGAAATAAGCCATCTGTGTGAAACGTTCAAGTACCGACACGGAAAGCATATCATAATGGGAGATTTGAATACTGGACCATTAAGCGAGAAAAGAGATCTATGGGGAGACTTTCCAAACAACTATAAAATGTTTCATAGATGTGGGTATACATCCTCGTATGAAGAGAATAACGGAACATGTACATATTGCACTTACAATAGTATACAGAATAACACAACTAGAGGAAAACTACTAGATCATATTCTGCTGACTGGGCAATCTTACAAAAATCCAAAGGTAAGGTAGCAGTTTGAATTTTTGCTCATTAAAATTGCCCTCTTAATGGGACGTCGTCTTGCATCGATAACGTTTGCGGGAATATTTCTGTAATTTATCAAATGCGTCACGTCTTAAAATTAGGAGAGCTTTTTGTATTTAGGGAAATGGGGGTAATGATCTAGCTCGTGTTCTTTAAATCTTGTCATTGTGTCAACTGTCGCGCTATTGATACCGATACCTGAGCTGACTGAGGAATGGGTTCTCTACCATTGTTTTTATCCGGATTAAATCGTTTCCTTATATATAGATAAAAGATTTATGGTACGATGTACTATGGCCTGCTGCTCCATATATGCATTAGTCTTGTTTTTTTCCAGTCTGAACAGTTTGGGTCAGTTATAACCAGTGTAATTATGCAGGTTTAAAATAGTCCTATTTTGATAAGTGAAATTGATTGCCTTGTATTATCATAACCACATCATTGATTGTCATGCTGGGCTCTTGATCCTCTGTTTTCAATCATACACTTGTCATAACTATTATGTTCGTTTATGCGACCTGCAGTCTATGTGGTTGAAGGTGTCTACTGATCGACAGATTTGAAAAAATATATCATTAAAAGAGCACTTTTTATAATTTGTAGGTCCGCAATTCATTATGTTTACCAGGCTAAATAAAGATGTGTTCATTAAATGTATATAGCCGTTGGTTAATAGAAAGTGCAGGAGGAATGCACCACATACAAATAATTACACAAGACAGACCTTATACATAAACACCTCAAACAACACACTCACTTATCCCGGTGTCTGTGATTCTCCTAAAACGTCGAATTGCGAACTCCAAAGAATCATGGATAATGCGACTTGATGATCGAGATTCCTTTATTTCCTGCGTAATTTTTATTCTGCTATAAAAATAAGAACTACCGGGAAATTCATAACGAAATGGAGAAATGTCATGTGCAGATAATACGAGAAGGCGTATATTTTAAATGCCATTTAAAGACATGTCTTCTATTCACTTAATTCATTAAATATTCGCTTATATGTGCTAATAATTTTACGCTGATGAAATAATAATTATTATTTACAGTTTTTGGACCAAATGGAAGTTTCGAAATTTCTTTTAAGAGTGATGATCCAGATAGAATTAGAAAAATGCTAAAACAGTTAAAATTAAAAATTTAGGAACAAAAACGGATAATTCAATTATATCATTGCAAAGAAGATAATAAGCTATATATGTGACCCGTAATGGCATAATGAATCGTAATAGGGCAAACATTGACTGAGCTGTGCCCGCTTGAAACCAAGTTTTGAGAAAAAGCATGTCAAAGATCTTATTCTAGAAATAGTTAGTTCTTTATCGTTACATCAAAATCGTAATGCTTGTGAAAAGAAAACATTTTAAAGAATGCCATCTGGTATGTTACTATTAAGTGAAGGGTATTTTACAACTTTAAAGCCAGATTTTTTTACAAATTTATTTGTTTTCAAGCAATCGGTCATAAGAGGATCAACCTTATTGATAAGCAGTACTTCGCAATTTTTTGTTCTAGGATATGAGATGAATTGCTCTCTGGGATTATCCAGTACCATAGAAATAACCTCTTCTACGATCTGGATTAACCCATTCCGACCGCGTGATGTCCGGGTATAAATTCATTGGAAATTATCGAAATTTATCGACGGATATCGATTGGTGCGTGACGCAGATGTATACCAATCATATGTACATGAGTGCGTGTAAACTTATTTTACAAAATTGAGTTATGTATTTTAATCAGGTAGTGAAAGATAAGACTGGTCTCAATCCCAAACTTCACTAGCTATTTCCTGCCCAAAACTATAAGAGTTGTACGGAATTTGTACGGGTAAGTATCAGTCCCCTCTGAGCAACTAAAATCCAAACATTAAAAGAGAGAGTTAATTTAGGACTAACACATGGTTCAAGCTTTTATTTCAATAATTCGCTTGCGCGTAGAGGGTCTTTGCAGTGGGAGGTAACCGAGGGACCCGGTGAAAACCCATGAGGTTGGACAGGCGACCCTACTCCTTGTCACGTACAACCGGGGAAACAAACCACACCAGTTGACCCAAAGACAGACCTTATGATGTAACGCGCACGCGCTAACCATTCAGCTATCCACACCCCATCCCCTTAAAGAAATAATTAATAGTATTTTATTTTATTTTCAGAAAATATTTACCCGGAGAAGAAAAGGCAAAAATTTATCCGATCATTTTGGTATTCAGGTCGACGTTTGCTTTGATTAATTTTGATTTACATTATCACATTTTCACAAATTGCTTTTCGGAAAATCAAGTGGGAATATATTATTTGGTTTTTATAAAATAAAGTGTTTGTATCTTTTATTATCAAGTGTTTGAGTCTTGACAATTTTTTCTACCAGGTGGGACTGTGGGTTTTCTTAGTATCCTTGAATTGGAATTTCCCAGGTTCAAATCTCGGCGTTTACTCACAATAGCACCTTCGTGGGTTTTCTCCCTTGGTTGACAAAGACATTTAGGGGATATTCGATTGCCAGTCCTGAATGTCGGGAATGGACATAACTCCAATCGAGTGACACGGAACTCAGTCGTGTCACAGTTTTGTCAGTTCAGAAAACGAATGTAGTGTGACTAGACTCATGACGTAATATGTTTCAGCTGTCATGTTTGGTTGAGGCATTTTCTTATTACAGTCCCAAATCTCACTCGATTGTCACTATCTCTTACCACAGGTACATGGGGACAGGCACGCCCTTATATGGTGCACCTATGTGATTTTTTCTTAATATTTTCTGGGGGGGGGGGGGTTCTTAATATTTTTCAAATTTTTTAATCTGCTTTATTTTTCTTCCTATTTGGTGCTAAATCATATAATATTTACTATCAAACATATTCGTATCAAAAAAAAAAATTATACCTTCTGATGTATCTAATAAAAGAGAAAGGTAAAACACTTTTCTGTTGACATTTTTTTGTCAGTGAGGTACCCCTGTCGCTATTTAATTCAAAATCGTGAATGAACTTGTCTTGCCTTACAAATCAACCACTCGGTTCCTTTCGATATATATTCCTTTCGATAAAAACACATATTTCAATTTTTTTCAAAAATGCTAAGTCAGTTTATTTGCCATAAATTTAATTCCGGAACGCCCAATCCAGTATACCCAATTTGTAGTCGATAGCATGGGATAGAAACTACCAAGATCTTGTGTTCAAGTTAGTAAAATTACCTGGTAATCGGAAAACATAAATTGTATTGTGTGCTAGTCTAAAAAAGGGAAGATAAAGCAACGTTAAACCACGTTCATTTCTCTCTCAGGTTTTGCTTGATGACTTTAGAAAGTGTCTATCTGATCAGACAGCAACCAAGAGTGTGTGTGGGTTGGGTTGTTTTTGGATTGTTTTTTTTTTTGTTTTATTTTTTCGGGGGGGGGGGGGCAACATCCACTTGACACAAAATAGGTCATTTCCGAACTAACAAATGGGTATTTTGTTTTTTAATTTTTCGCTTTCGCGTAGGGGGTCTTTAGCAATAATATTGGAGGAAACCGGAAGACCTGAAGGACCCGAAAAGAACGCGACCCTACTCCTTATCACTACAAGTGTGGGGTCAAAACCAAGCCACTTGACCAAATGACAGACGATAATATGATATAAAGTACACGAGTTAGATCACTTGACCACACGATATATTTCTGCGATGTTGCGATGTATTTTTGATTTTTTTTTTTTTTTTTTTTTTTGTAAAACATCAGTCTGTATTTCATATTATGCAATAAATATCATGATACACAACATATTATCTAGTTTCAACTGTATTGAATATACTGTAGTTAATAAGTTAATAAAGAAGTGGAAAAAAATGTAATATTTATTAAATATGTAAAATAGTACGGAAAATATATCTTATTATTAAAATTTTAATAAATTACCAAAAATGTGGCAGCAATGTCCATTACTGGATTTTGTTCAGGTGACGAGTTCAAGTTATGTATTCCACCATTCAATCAGAGAGTCCCCGTGTTTCATAGGCTTAACAATATCATGTGCCATGGGATAATATATTGTTTCTGGTATGTTATATTCCTGGTCGGCTTCTTTAAAGGCTATTCGAATTCTATCCCGGACGGTCTTGGGTTCATTCCAATCGGTATACGGGGTATCGGGTGGCAAATCATGCTGAGCAAAGGATAGTTCCGGTTGAAACAGAATGAAACCATTGGCAGTGCCAAAACTGTACCGGGAATTAGTTCTTGGATAAAATGGAGCAAATGTTGTTATGAACATAGTCATTTTGTTATACTCGAACACCCAGCCTCGCTTGCCTATATATGACTTTTGTAATGATTTTCCATGCCCCGGATCATTATTGGAGATAACTTTTAATACACGTTTAACATTTTTCGCGAAGATCTGAAAATATAAATAACATTGTGAATAATAAGAGCATGATTCCATATTCGTGCCATTGTTAATTCAGATTAACAAATCTGACATTCATTGATAACGCTAGACGATAAACAGAAAAAAAGACAACCGGTCGTTCGTTCTGATCTTCTGGATATTAGGAATGAAATGGGGTTTAAAGTCTGGTCAACACAACAATCCGATCATTTTAATTGCGCTAGCAATTCTTTTGCGTGTATATAAATGTGTTCGATTGCAGCGGTTACTTCTGATTAAAAGACCATCATGATATGACATGGGGTTAAACGTTTTGATTTTCTGCACCGACTTCGCTAATTAAAACAGGCACACGCCATGCAGAGTGCTTTGATGGCAATTATACCCATACAGTGGCGTTACCGCCTATTGTTCTTAGAATAAAAACGACAAAAGTCTCCTTTGAGTGCACAAAATGCGAATAGACTTTTTGTATAGAGTTGGCGTTTACCTGTATATCGTCACAATACTCTTCACCAGGTAGTTCAAATACAAACCCATCTAAACCAAGTATTTCACAAGACAGAATAAACTTATAGAAAGTTGGCATCGATCTAAAAAAAGACAAAAAGAAAGAAACTCGGGGAAACTTAATATAATTGTAGAACGACTCGTCTGAATTAAGGTTTGCGTAAAAAAATTTGTTTCGATATTTCATGGAAACATGTTTAAATATTCTTAACGCAGTTAAATTTGTTTTCTTGCTAATCAGTTGTACAGAACGACTCGTCTGAAAGTTGTGCATAAACAATTTTGTTTCTATATATTGGATCGGATTCTGAAGAGCTCAAAAATATTTCATGGAAACATGTTTAAATATTCTTAACGCAATTAAACTTGTTTTCTTGTTAATAAAATGATTTGTACAGTACCTCAAAAGTATAATATAACAAATAAAATATGTCAGTTATGTTACCTGAATATGTTTTCTTCTGCAAAAAGATAGAATAATAATAAAATATCAGTTAGTGTTTCTTTTGCAGACATTGTAATGTTAATATACCACAGGCAATGTAACGTAAATATACCACGGACAATGTAATGTAATTATAAGACAGATAATGTAATGTAAATATAACACAGACACAAAGTTTGGTTTTTATGGAATTATTCTTGATTTCTAAATAGTTATAAAACCATGAATCTCGAATTTTAAAAAGACCCAGTAAGTTATGTCTTCAATTTACCGTTAATCAGTAAATCGAAAAGATGAACAATAATACATACCTAGCCCTAAATGTTCTTCCCAGTCTTTTGAACCCCAAATTTTAGATCGCTTGGCAAAAATACAAGGTGTGTTCTCTTTGATCACATTAAAATTCTTTAATGTGATGTTATCAGTTGCGTCGTACGTCACATATTCTGATATTTGTCTGTCGATTTCGTCTGCGTTATCAACAGGGAGCTGTTTTATTCTAGGTTTCCCTTTAAAAGGATTCGTGACTTCTGTGTGGTTATTAATTGAATTTCTATCAATTCTTTCAAAAACTCTCAGAAAGAAAAACCCTATAAAAAAAAAATTTAAATTATCAAAAAATTTATATGCCTGTTCAATTATCTAAACTCTAGAAGAACCGTGTGCTAATTGATCTAATAAAATCTGAAATTAGAAATCTAATCTTCACTGTTTATTCGTGTACAAAAGGGTATGCTTACAGATAAAGGACTTTAAGCAAATTGTGTCGGTTGACCCAAATATTTATAGTTATATCAAATGGTGTATCCCCAATCGATACCTTTTCCCCCGTTGCTTTTAACATTTTTTTTCATGAAAATATATCTAAAACAATTGAACAACAGTCAGAAAAAGGTGTTGCCGTTAGTATTTTTTTTTCAAGAATACATGACCGACTAAAGCTAGTGTGGGGTATGCAGCAAATTTCATAACGGAGTTCTAAATTAATAAAATACGCATAACTATCAAACACATTTTTGTGATTCAAATACTTTCGTATTTATGTGTCGTATATGTAGATAAGCCTATTTAGATTTAATCCCATTAATTACTGTGTTAAAACAATAACCCCAACTGAAGTGAAGGTGATTTTCTAAAATGGCTAACCCTTAAACGCACAGTCTATCACTAACAATTTTTAGCGGCGTATTTTTGCTAACCAGTAAAAAAAATAGTTGCTTTTAGTAAAAAAAAAAAAATCACGAATACATACCTAATAACGTTGTACCACTCAGTAAAGATGTCAGAGAAAAATGTAAGCTTACAGTCGAGTAAAGAAATATAAAAACAACAAGCAGCTGTATGCATTTGACGCCTGTTTTGACTTGCATTGTTACATTATTGTTGGAAGATTCATTCTTGATTAATTACAAATTACCACAAGCATTTCTAAAATTAAAAAAAAAACTTATTAATAATGGGTACCAGGTTAATTTGACAGTTTTATTTTTATTTTTGTTGTGGTTGTTGTTTTAAATATAAATAACTATATATCTCATAGAAACATGCCTGTCACTTACACATGTCACGTGTTTTTCTATAATACATTTCATTAAAATACAAATAGCTGTGTAGACACCCTACAGGGAGGGGTCACTATACACAACCCAATTAAAGAACGGGGAGACTTTGTACATTTACTTTTTATACAGGTTTTTCATGAAAATCCAAACAGTTTTAGAATTACTTTACTCTAATACATTCCGATTAAATAATTATCCAAAAAAAAAAAAATAACAATTAGAAATACAATTTCGGCATGATATCTGTTTGTGTTAACCTCGTTCAGCTTTTCTGTCCCAACTGGGCTAAGATAACCTGTTATAATTACAAATTCAGTTTCGACACCAGAATAGTTCTTTACTAAGGTGTAATACTGCTGACACCATATCTCAACTAAATTAGAAAGAAATTTTCCGTAGTGTCCTTTTTGTCGTACAATAATATTTTGTAGGCTTTAAGTGTTTAAGGGCAACAACTCCATTTAATAATCAGTCGAAATCCATTTTGACGTGGCATGCTTTAACACATTATTATTACAATGGTATATGTATTGTATTTTCTGATATTGAGCCGTTCATTTACTAGGGTGTAGTATAGCTGGCATCAAATCTCAACTTAATTAGAAAGAAACAGTCCGTACCTTGTGTGTCCTGTCATGTTGTCCTGTGTTTTGATGCGTCGTGATCTATATTTAGATTCCTTAACTGTGTAACAGCCTATTCATATCCAGCGTCTTGAAGATCGAGCACCGCGCTTAATTCTTTATCACCCAGTGTCATATTATATGATGGACCCAGTGAGGTCCCCAGGCGGGGGTGCTGATCATGGCATTACTACACCCCTTTCCGCCAATAGTTTTATCAATTTTGAAAGATGATAGATGTAATGTCTGTTATTCGCATATATATTCTCCTTTCTGTAATGACAACACCGCTTCTTTTCTGTTTTAACGATTTGATTTAAAATCCAAAACGCAAATAAGCATACATGTTTTCATTTATTTTAAGGGAGCCACGGTGGCTAGGTGAGTAAGACGCTGACTCCCTAGCCTGAAGTTCGCTGGTTCGATTCCGGTGTTGGCCGAGAAAGTTCATCGGGTATTTTGGCGTGGTTTCTCCTTGTCTAGTTGTTCCGATGGGACGAAGAATCGAGGTCCCGTGTACATAATGACCTTCAAGTAAAAGATCCGGGCAAAATGTCCTCCAATATCACACTGCATATGCCCACTTTCATTAGCCCAGTCGGAGCAGAACAGCAGGGGGCGTTAAACGTTATTTTATTTCTCAAGTCACAGTCGATTTGTTTCAATTTACAGATTCGCTAAGTTACGTTATTAAGTCGTAGATGGCCAAATAGTTGGCATTGTATTTATCTTTGAATTAAAACACATTGTTTCGAGGTTTTGTTTTAGGATTAAATTTGATCTAATACATCACGTGTCATTATACCTATTTCATTTAAAGTCTTTATGCAGTAGATTTACATCTACCCGTTAAAAGTTTGATATTGAAAATAAAAATGGAACGATTCGATTAATTATTGTTGCTTAAAGCCGCTTATTGTCATTTGATTGTTTTTGAATTCCCTGTAAATTACAATAGTGTGGAAGTTGAATCTCTAACGGATATATATCAGTATAGAGGTGCTTCAATTCCGTTCAGTTCAAAGATATGATTGATTGAAAATGTCCCAACATATTCCATATCCTCTGCACATTATCCTGTCTTGAGTAAAATCTGTTGAAGTTCGGTAGATAATCTCCAGGCCGGGATTCAATCGGATTAAGAGACCCAGCGAAAGGTTTTGGTAACGATTATAGCTGGTGCTGGCTTGTTTTAACCGTCTTTCGTTTATATCGTCCGCAGATGATGCCGAATGTTGAGAAATGTTCGTTATATTATCTTTGTTAATACGTATTAACGGAATTGTGGTTTCAAAGGGTATACAGGTGCACCAAAACCTGTCATGATATATACTAGTCTTACGATGCAAAGACTTACCCGGCAACACTGGGCTCAGCTCAGTCTAATGATTTTCTAATGCTTTAGCCAGATCGCCTTGATTGTTGCGGATGTTTAAATTTCCAATTGTCACCCAAACTGCCCAGAATGGCATTGATCGGAGACCATTAAAACCAGCTACATTTTTGTATAATATTATGTAAAACATTTGAAATAAAACTTCTTGTATTTCATTCAGCACATTAAAATGGCGTCGTTTGCCTTCATTATAATTCGCGTGAACAAATCTGCACCAGACAAATAAAACACCTACCCATTTTTTATGGGGTTTTTGCTGGGGTTTTTTTTTTTTTGGGGGGGGGGGCGAAGGAGCGGGGTATTCAATTGGTTTGGATTGGGATTGGCCAAATAACATCATTGTGAACAGATCGGCATTCCACACAGCATATTAGTCGGAAATCTAAAATCTTTACGACGACCAGTATGTATGACAAGCTCTTTTGGCGCCATTGGTCCGATGGGCTAATAGAAACAACGAAACGAAAATACAGTATAATTTTAATGTTTTTTTCCTCAAGATACAGGTTTACCAAGATAATGTATATTTAATGTCACCATACCTTTCAAAGTAAACCCTCATGCCCCACCCCTCCGCACCCCCACCAAACAACCAAAGCACCAACAGACGAACACATATATATTTATAAAGATAACGCACACTACATGTATTATCATTTCTCCCAATAGTTAAACTGAATGAAGCAGTTGAATAATAAAATAGTTAAATGTTGGATCAATCGTGGCGTATACACACCAACACCACTATAAACACACACAACCGTAACCACATTACAATTCACCCAAATTCACAAGTTAAAAAAATGTTTAAAAATTATTGGGTAACATAACACACAACCTTGATGACAGCCCCTGTTGTGCGAGAAAAGCACAGTACGCTCTCAGAATAGTTGTCATGCATGGCGTTGTTGTTGGTATAGTTTGGGTATCAACGCCTTCGTCATCGTCTGAAATGTAAAATAATATGGTGTCTGGGTGAATACAACCAGGCATCAATATCAATGTCATCCGAACTCTTCATCAGTACGTCCGTATTCAATGTAGACGTAAACAAAATCATGACATTTTCAGAACTATTAGTTCAGCACTTTGAGATATTGAAATGAAACGGGTGTCTAGTTACAGATCAAATTGCAGTTAGAGCAACATTTACAGGAGTTATGACTTTCAGTTTTCCAGACCCCCCCCCCGCCCCTGTCTTTGAATTACTGGATGGACATTACACAGGTCAGATGGTGGTCTCATCCCGATTGATATCATCTTGATTAAGGGAATTCGTGTCTAGCCTAATTCACATTGAACGCATAAGTCTTTTATTTTCCCTTTGTCTAATTCACATATCGCTGAAAATCCACAGGAATCTTCCTCGCAAGGAACTACGCGGTGCCACGGTCTAGACGTGCATGCGAAAGTAAAACACTCAGCATCTATCTTATGAATCCGTCGCCGTGCTGTCAAAATAAAACATACGAGGGTTATCAATTATGTTTGTATGTTGTTGACAAATACGTTGCTCCCGGAAAATGGATTCTGATTAATAGCTTAAACCCGTTTTACCAGGAAGCCCATCTAGGTTAACTTTATATATAGAATATCTTTCTAAAAATACAGAACTGGGCCAGCTTGTAAAGTACATTGCGTAGTGACACAGCCTCAAATGCAACTCTGGAAAATGTATTTGCTGGTCAAAATAATAAATAAAGAGCCGTTTTATCCAAAAGTAATTAAAGTAGCTAAGTCTCTTAACTCAATATCATCCAAAATCTTCGACATAACCATTTTAGCGTTGGTACACGAATCGTGTACCATGGTGCATTTCAGCGCCATTTTTAACAAGGGACTCGTAGAAAGAGGCTAGATATATTCCACAATTCATGTCAAACGGTGACGCCATATTCTTATCTGGAGAGCATGCACAATAAATACTATCGGTATAGAGTGGAATAACCAGACGCTAGACATTGCCTTTCGATTGAGACTTCTGGCGTATTTCGCCGAACATAACTGATTAGAAATTGCAGTAAAAACAGAAACGATTGAATGTAAATCAGTTTATATACATACATTCACCTTGCATTATTATATGCGTCGCGACCCATTTGTGTCAATTTCTAGATCCAAAATATTAGCGATTTAGCTCCTTTAAACGGTGCAATTAAGTATTTACAACCAATTGGTCAATTAGAAAGGAATATGTCCCCATTAGATGAGATTTTGGTGGTATAAGCAAAGTCCAAATAAAAGTTTGACTAACTGCTTTAATCACAATTAAACAGTTTCGTTAGACGACAGAAACAAGTACCTAATCGAGATTTTTGGAGTATTTGGAGGTCTCATGAAATCATTATTACTTAGTTGAAATGGTTACATAGCTGTAGCTTTGATCGCCCGCCACAAAATATTTTCCAGCTCGGATGGGTGCCGTTTGGAAATAAATATCATGGGAGTGCGCGATCAATTAAGTAGATACCGCATATGTATAAAACAAAAGTTCAACAAAAAACATGGTTGTACGGATGTACGAAATATTACTAGACAACCTCCTGTCCAACAGATGCAATGTATTGAACTAAATAACCTGGTCACTGTGTGTTAAAAGTTCATATTTATAAACATATGCAAACAGGAGCATGCATAGGGTGGGCATAAAGTTAGAAATAACAGTTTACACGAAGGTTGATACGCCGGTCCACAGACGGTCAGATGAAGTGGCCATTCTGGTTGTTTGGGGTAGGATCAACTGATTTACTTGAACTTTCCTTCCTCCATGGTCGGTTCACTTTTGTATATATACTATTCAAAAAAAGTAGGGGATATTTGATTTTTAAGTGTTATTAAAGTCACCTAATGAAACTGACGAAGAAACAAATGACAAAATGAAATGAAGTTCACATTCATCGATTTATTCCAAATGATCGTTAGACTAAGTAAGGCACAGACTGACCATTATAAGGGTAAAATGATACCCGGGGTCAAACAGCTAAGTTACCACAGCATCACAACCAAGTCAGTAACGGGTAAATCCTCCTCTGTTTGCCAAACAAGCATTGATCCGACGTGGCATACTCCTAATGAGACGTCTAAGGTCATTTTGGTCCAGATTGTCCCATTCCTGTTGCAACGCAGCAGCAAGTTCTTGGACATTGGCAGGACGTTGTTGACGTTGACGTAACCTCTGTCCAAGCATGTCCCAGACATGCTCGATGGGGGAGAGGTCGGGACTCAGTGCTGGCCAAGGTAATGTGGTGATGTTCTGTTGTTGGAGGTAACCTGTAACGATCCTGGCCCTGTGACATCTTGCGTTGTCATCCTGGAAGATGAAACGGCGGCCATGACGTCGTGCGAACGGCACAACATGGACTGCCAAGATGTTGTCCCGGTAGTACTGGCCTGTAACACGCCCTGCAACAACATGTAAAGCCGTTCTTCCAGCAACAGTGATGCCTCCCCACACCATAACAGAACCACCCCCAAATCGATCATGTCTGATGACGTTAACGTCTTGGAAGCGCTCGTTTCGACGACGCCACACCCTCCTACGTCTGTCCAAAAAATCAACAGTGAATCTTGACTCATCTGAAAACATCACATTGCTCCAGCGTCGATTATCCCAGTGTTGACGATCCCTACACCAACGACGTCTTGCCTGAATGTGATGATCTCTCAAACAAGGGATCACGCGAGGACGTCGGGCGCGAAGGTGACCCCTATGCA